GCTATGGCCATTTGACGCATGCGCAAGGGACGACTCCCCCGCTTTAAAAGAATGTCTGATAAACAACAGGTTATAACACTGGGAAATCTGACGGAATAAAACTCCGATAAACCAAGTAGACGGTTGTAAAAGAGAGCGCCATCATTTTCAACTTTGAATGACGCATATGCAAATTAAAGATGTACCACGATTCAGACTGATTCTGATAACTAAATTGTTATGTTTCTTTCAAACCTTTGAATCAAAAACTAAATTATTGTATTTATTTTGATACGTTTTATTGTATTTACAATTCGAATATGACGTAATTGATTTGCATTTATCTAATGATACGTGGAAGATGCCCAATCACGTTGTAGTAGCCCGGTACATGTATAGTACGAAGCTGAACTCGACAACGAATATGCAATTCATAAGCGTTTAAAAAACGACATCGGGGAATAATAAATCAAGCCGTCTTTATTTTTAGAATATGCTCATATGTTATATGCATTGTGTATGCGTGTATGTCATAGTGCCGCTCACTCACAGATACGTTCCAGGGCTACTCAGTGTGTTAAATACGTATTTAATCATGTATTTTACAAAATAATAAAAATATAGTGAAAATAAAATAAAATACCCACCGTACAATATATCAGATTTTTTTCCGAGTTTAATACATGTCATACCGTTGTTTGACTGGAGGTCAAAAATAAGTTATACTATAATTTGTTAGTATGAAAACTTCTCACGCAATCTATGCAAATACATGTAATGAAGCAATCGTTGTCGTCCCGTCTGAACATATGTACGCCCCATAATCCTATAACAATTGTTAAGTTATTTTGTAATAAATTGAATGTTGTTCTATCAAAGGCATGTGATTTCAAGGATTTTAAATTCTGAATTGCAAACCGACCCAGTATGTGAGCCAGCTGCTGTCAGTGCATTATTTACATCATCACGTAGTATTCCGGTTAAGTGTTGACTGTTGTGGGGTGATTAATATATTGCTAATATGTCGTGTATGTCTGTGGTGACCAGAGAGCAGTTCATATCATAGAAGGTATTCATAACAGGTAGGTTTGTTACAAATTCAGTTTCATTATATTTCTCATATTTAAAAAGAACGTTGTTGTAAACCGTGTGCACCAACATTGCTACCACACTGCCGCTATACAGTATACCCTGACGTTATTTCAATTGAGCTGAAAAAAAATTGAAAGAATTTCATATCAGTTTTTGAATCGAATTGGTAGTACACATAACTGCTGGCTATCGTTGCGTGATTTAATGGAATATGTTCTTTAAATAAATATTACCACCTCTCCTATTACAAGCTGACACAATATATTGTCACCGTTCCTGGTAAAACTGTTCTTTGTCGATTTTCTATTGCTCCTGTATGTGTTAGCTTTTGAATTTTACGTGTTTGATGCATTTTTTAACAAAAATATCGAGGAAGTTACAAAAAATACTAATACGTATCAATGTACAAAATGTCGCTTCAAAATTGGGGGTTGTATCGTTCAGGTGTCAATTTCAATCAAATTCCAATGTTACGCTAAACAACAATCATCTTCAACTATTGTGTATAACAAGTAGATTTATTCAATTTCAATGTTATTGTTTTATCATGCAAAGTAATAGAGGTCATTTTATGTTAATATGACAACGCATTTAATTTTTAGTGTTTATTCCATTCAAATCAAAAAAGGGTTATAATTTCAACAGCTGTGTTGCTTGTTATATTGCTATGCAAATATGATATTAAATCACAGCTGATCGCTACAGACAACATATCGATCTACGTCATACATTATTTGTAAAGCAATACTCGAAAATCGATGGAAAAAATCACTTATCTTAATATTTAGTTATTTTATATTTAGCTTTTTTCACCACAAGTCGGTCAAAAAATTAGCATGAATGAATTAGAAAGATCACTAACCTAGTTTTCATATATTACGGCCAAAATGGAGGCCATTTTGAAAATTAGCAAATTAAGAATGGGCCACCAAACTTGTTTCCGTATATAGCGGCCAAAATGGAGGCCATGGCTCGAACTTCTCGGACATGAAAAGTCGGTCTAAATATGTATAATTCTAATGTTTCTAAATCAACTATGTGAAATGTATAGAAGTAAAAGTAGGAATGTAATACCACGGTTAAATGGCAACTGTGGACGTGTTGACGGAAATGAGTTTGAAAGTGATTTAGGGGCAATAAGCACAAGTCTCGTGGCACTCGCGAACAACGTGAATTTGGCAGTCGTTTACGTCCAATGTATTTTACTGATAACATGAGAAACTGAGAACCACTCTACATGGGGCATGCTGTTATAAGCTAAACCGCGACACAGGAAATGTTATTGGACTGATTAAAAATACTATTGAAAAGAAAAAAACGTATTATCGATTCTTCTGTTGTTCTTAAATGCTACTGTGACCCATCTCAAATAAATAAATAAATAAATAAATAAATAAATAAATAAATAAACTTATTCATTGGGTCAAAGTTCACATTGAAGCATGTCTGAAATTGAAAATTAATACAAAAATAGAAGGTTATATGTGACAGTATATTTGTTACTTGAGTTGAGTGGATGGAATATCTCTAATCTTTGACCAGACAATATATATATTTTACTTAGGGTTTAAGCAAGCACGAAGTGTAAAACATTCTTACATTTTTTAAGGAATCACTCTGTGCCCATTCTTCTTTTATTGCCACCCTATGGCTTGTGCATCTCACACACGAAAGAGTCCCTGCCTGTCTGAATTTTGTTTGAACGACCTTATTTCAATATGCAATATCTGCGTATAAAACTGAAAATTAACAGCTGTTGTATTCCGCGATAATTTTTTTTTTAAATATACTGTTTAATACAATTATTAAATTCAAAATAAAAAGGGACTTTGCTTGAACATTTGTCTTCCCCGGCATTACATAAAAAAAATGCAATAATGTGTAGTCTTTTAACACATGACATCACTATATAGGTCTCTTTAATTAATCAGCATTTGTCCATTAATAACCTCCAAACAGAGTTTATACAATAATAAATTATGATCTAACGCCTTCATAAAGTAAAAAAAAAAAATTATCTTTGTTCGATGGAATCTGATCTACTAGTATGTCATACACAATGAAATAATAATTAGTCATAATACCACATCCATAAGTTTTTATCTGTGAACTACGCAGATAGTATGTGAACTGTCCAGAATGTAACATATGTTAGGTATGTATATTATTTCTGGGGGAAAAATAATATGTGGCCATGAACACAATAAATACGACATAATATCCGTAATTATGTAATTGTTTTATTTAAACAGGCTGACATATTAATATATAGTATGAAGATGGACAAACGATATGTGTGTCTCTTGTATTTAACTGCGTTATTTATTGGAATTTCTGCCAAGTCCCGACATCGGGTATGTACATGTGAATATATATAATATAAGTGTGCATGCAGAGAAAAATTATTTATTTATTTATTTATTTATTTATTTATTTATTTATTTATTTATTTATTTATTTATTTATTTATTTATTTATTTATTTATTTATTTATTTATTTATTTATTTATTTATTTATTTATTTATTTATCTGTTTATCTGTTTATCTGTTTATCTATTTATTTATCTTTTTGATTTGGCTGTTTTTTATCTGTTTTAATTTGTAGATTACTGGCGAAACATTGTTATCTGGTAAGTTAATTCCGCTTTAAATTACAACAATACATTTTCATTAAATATTGTGTTCTCTTAGTACTAGTGTCATGTGTTTCACTGTATGATGTGACGACCAATTTTAAACTTTATTTTTTAGTCAAGCCTAGTCTGAAATTAGAACCTCGCATTGTTAATGGCGAAGACGCGATTGCCCATTCATACCCATGGCAAGCAGCGCTGGTATCTGAAGAAGAAGAAGAAGGAGATCAAGAAAAGATTATGTTTTGTGGTGGTTCGTTGATCGATAAACATTACGTGTTGACAGCTGCACATTGTGTTGCTGGGTATGTATTGAAACAATCGTATCTGCTGTCCAATACTATGTAGCGAATTATGCCACGACCGTGCTTGTATGAAACGAAACAATTAGACACACTTGGCACATATACAGAATTACTATAAAACTACAGTATTTCAGTTTTGGGTTTTGATATTTTTCCTCGTTTTTTGCAATTAACAATTTTAATGATACTAGGATCAACGCGATATCGAATTTTTTGGTGAGCTAAAACACATGATATTATATTCGATTTCTCTTATTTTTCTCTCACTAGACGCCTGAATGTTTTATGCTTTGTACTCGCGTTGTCAGACTTTATTCACACAATGCATGTGTGATTTTGCATGGATTTCTATGATCATGTACGTGACATAGACTCGCCCACCAAGTATAGGATAAAGTCTGATTACAAAGCCACTTCTAAGATTTAAAGTCTGCATTCACAAGCATTTTATCGTGGGGGAGGGGGAGTGTATATCCCAGGAGAGTTCGAGTAATCGAGATTTATTGATTTGTAATCTAACACCTCAAACCATATATAATATACACTTTGGAGAAGGCCTTATAATTTTGAAGACATTCGGGAGTCCTGTAAATAATTCCGCACTAATATAATATTTATTACGTAACGCGCAAATTGTAGAACATGTGTGCATGGCTATTGACATTTTTGTTTGTTGGTAGGTTGTTTGCGTAAATGACCAAATTTGCATAATGAAATCGTGCAGGCGGACCTCATTAAATTGGACAATTACTGAATAATCATGATGAAACTTCTAACACGATATTTTTGGTCTTAGTCCAAAATCAATTTTGGTGTTTTTTCGGGATTTCCTGAATGATTTTCCTAGTTGTGACTATACTAAAAAGAAGAGCCTGTTTCTGAAAGAAAACTTTACTGAATATACAGACCCACAATGGGAAAAACACAGGATAGTAGTTAACAAATGAAATAACACTATTGTGTACAATCCTTCTTTATTTATGTTTTTTATTCATATTTGAAGTCTACTATTGTGATATAACATCGTCTACCGTATTCACTTTTCATTGTAGTGTAACCAAAGACGAAGCTACAGTTATACTTGGCGATCATTTATTGAATGAAGAGGAAGGTGTAGAGCAAGTGCGCCATGTAAGCAAGATAATCCGAAGTCCTGTATACAAGAACTGCACAATGGACAAGGACTATGCTTTACTTAAATTAGATAAACCCGCGATACTCAACGAGTATGTTAATGTGATCCCTCTTGGGAAAGAATTTGTTTCTTCGGGTGATTGTATTGTCACTGGATGGGGAACTGAAGACGAAAATGGTGAGTAGCGTTGTTGAAATGAAATTCAAATTTTATAAATTAAATGTGTGTGAAAACTAGTAAATCAGGGGCCATATCGATTTGGTTTGTGAGGTCTGACTATCCCAGCAGTCAAAAATCTGTCTTTACTTGGTGTTGAGAGATTCCTAAAAATCAGAATCCATAAAAAATCACACTGGACACACTGATACACGTGACGTAATAGACATCTTTTTCTTCTGTTTTTGTTATCGTATACATTGCATGGAAGGCAACTAGTTCATTAAATAATATATTTCCTCGTGAATTTCTGGGTTTTCGAACTATATTTAATGCATTTCATAAACATTTATCTTGTTTTTTACTGTAATACAAACAGGATCGGTGAACAACATTCTAGAGGAAGCAACCGTAGATGTGTTACCCCAGGATATATGTCAATATGTTTGGAGCAACGTTATAGACATACTACCAAGTATGCTGTGTGCTGGCACCGGGATTTCTGGTTCGTGCTCGGTAAGTAATATATAACCAACTCCGGAATGTTTATGGTGAAGACTCTCTAAGGTAACGCTCGAGGCGATCAGAATCTCCATGGAGACAGTACTTATCTGAATTAAACCAAACGCACCACGTGATGCTCCTCTGTATCAATAACTCATCATTGCCAAAACTTCCCTCAAAGTTTTGTTTAAAAAAAATTGATACTTGTTTATTTATGTAATATATGTCTTGGCCACTTGTTTCATGCTTTCACCAATTAACAGCTAGGTAAGTCAGTTAAATGTTCATACCGGGACTTCATTGTTCTGAGATCGACTCCTAGTCTTGCATCCAGTTTTGAAAATTGATGAAGAACTTGCACTCTAACTGTTATGGAAGAAACAAACATTAATCTTAAACTGGTTAAATCAAATTTCATCTTATCGGAACAGTGAACTATTTTTCTTGTGGCTAACAATGCGTTAGTGGTAACTGTCAGTGTGTTTTTTTATGACCGGGAACAAATGCTAGGCCATGAGTGCATGTGGTAATATTCATGGCAGAACACATTCCCAGTTCATCATAAGGACTCTAAATTCTTTAAAGTTTATGAGAAATTTTATCCGAGAGAATCTTGAAATCGACTTTC